GAGGTTGTTGATCAGCGGAAGGGGGTACCGGTTTTTGATGGTCATCGCATTGAGAGCACAGTAGTCCTGGACGAAGCGGAGTCTGCCATCCTTCTTCTTGATGAAGAAGACCGGAGACGCCATCGGAGACTTGGAGGGGCAAATCCAACCCGTCGACAGCCCTTCCTCGATGAACACGTCGAGCTCGTGTTGCTCGAGGGGTGAGATGGGGTACACCTTGCAGTTGGTGGGCTTAGCGTCGGGGACAAGTTCAATGGCGTGGTCCCAGGCTCTCCGCTCCGGTAGCATATCGAAGGACTCCTTGTTGAAGACGTCCTGGAAGTCCTTAGCCCAGTCCGGGATCTCGGAGGGCAGAGGGGCGGAGTTCCTGGCAAAGGCTTTGGCCAAGCGCTGCGAGACGGTGCTGCCTGCGCGTATCTCTTCCGAGGGACGGAACGAGGTGTAGAAGATGCGGTCACCATCATCTTCGAGCTGGTCGTCCTCGTCGTCTGAGTCCAAGTCCAGTGTCAGATCAGGCAGGTCGGAATTGAGACCGGAATCGGAATCGTCTCCGTCCTCAGGGCCAGAGAGGTCCATAGTGAAAACCGAGGGGAACGGGCCGGAGCAGAGATGTTTCTGGAGTGCGGACCGGAATGCCATTCCGGTGGACGTAGTTCATGTCAATAAAGTCGGAGGTGGCACCACAATCGACAAGCCCAGAGAGCGAGAGCTTCAGTGCGCTGGTGGTGGACTCCAGCTCCAACGGGAGGTGGAGGGAGTTCACTCCAGGGGAGGCGGCAACGGTATACTGCTTGGGTAGTTTCTTTTCCCAGGCAGTGAGGCAGCAAAGGACAATGACCGGAGTCGCGGGCGGAGTTGGAGACGGAGTCGAGGCGGGGGGCAGGAGAGGGTGTGTCGTTCATTTCGGGCTCATTGTAGGGCAAGGAGCTGCATTCATCATACAAAGAGGCAAAACGATTTATGGACGCGAACGAGGGCACACCAGTCACTCGTTGGGGGGACAAAATCCTCTCCGGCCATCGACTCTGCTGCCGTCTCCGGCAGGGCAGCTGTGTCCGTGTAGCGGGCGATCAACTCCGCTAACATCTCATCACCGAGTTGTTGGATCACCTCATCGAGGATGTCCATTGAGCGAACATCGGTGGGGAGGGGGCAATCCCAGGCGAGATGGTTTGGGTCGCCACACCTGAAGCAGGCGCGAGGAGGGGCACCCCGAGCCCTGGTGCGGTCCAACTCCATAGGGACGGGAACTGGAGGCGCCGGGGGGGGCGGGGCCGCGGGTGGCACGACCGGAACCGCGGAAAGGGGCCGGAGCCTGGATGCGGTTGACCGGAAACGGAGTCCGAATCAAACCGCCAGGCATCTTTGGGGCGGCTGACTTGATCAGCTTGGCCCGGACCAGGGCCTCGTATTGACGGAAGGCCCGGGTGCGCCAGCTAAGGTAATCCCGGAGGTCCGGGGGGGTCGTTTGAGGACGTGATTCCGTTGTTGATCAAGGGATCAAGTCTGTGGCGGAACTTGGTCACCTTGACCAGCGCGTCCTCGAATCCAGCGAGGTCCATCAGGTCCTCGAAGTCGTCAGTGTACTGGTAGACATCTTTGTACCATGTGATAGGCGGAAGTCTCCAGTTTGGAGAGAGTGTGATCTTGCTTCTTCTCCTCGACGAACCGGAGTCGAAACTCGGAAACGAACGGGCCCCAAGACGGAAACGGAAACAGGGCTTTGCTTCCGTGGCGCTCCGCCCATTACTGAGCGGGTCCTTCTGCCATAAACAATATGGCATAGCGGACGGCCTTTTCCTCGCTCGCCTCTCCGTTGACCACAAAGGCCTCAGGGGCAAGGCGGGCGTAGGTGCGGACCGCGTAGAGAAATGCCCGGCCGCGTTTCCGATTGCCGTTGAAGGTGAACGGGGGGGTTTACCAATTTTGAGGCGAGGTTGATGGCGCCGAAAAGGGCTTTGGAGTCGCCCTGAACTGGAGTCGGAGTCGGAATCGACGTCTCCGGAGATGGTGTTTGGGGTCTGCCAGCATTATTAGTGGCGGCAGTGGCAGCGGAAGCCTGGTTGGTGAGTAAAGCAAGGGCCTCAGTTAGGCTATCGATTTTCACCTTGAGTGAGTCCAGCCGGGCGTCTGCCCTAGGAGTGACTCCGGACGGCATGACGGGTGCGGGGACCACAGGAGTAAAGGAGGAGGGGACAAGTGGCAGGGGCGGTGACGAGGGCGGAACGGACTCGTACTCTGAGCCTGAGTCAGCGCCGAACCTGGCAATCTTGTCCGGTTGATCCCGTAGAGAGTTTCTTCTGCTGTAAGGGCAACCCCGGAGGCATCCTAGCAGGGGAGGATCCAAAGCGTGAACATTGGTAAGCAAATACAAATGGAGCTGACCTAGCAGGGGAGGATCCAAAGAGAAGAAACTCTAAGGGTCCGCCTGCTAGGGAGCTGACTATATACTGCTTGTCCGTAGCTGCCGCTGTCAGGCACAGAAGGCTTGGGCGGCGTCACAGGCAAGGTCCCAGGGCGACCGTTGGGAGGGTGTTGACGGATCGGTGATTGTGCGGGCGAGATGGAGGGCTGGACCGGAGTTGGAACCGGAATCGGACCGGAGTCGGACGCGTCTCCGAGGGGCCGAAAGGGAGGTTCCCCTGGCATGAAGACTAGATTATAGTACATTCAGAAACCCTTCCAGCCATACCAGAACCATTCTAGAAGCTCAAAAAATAACTCTTCTGACAAGCCCAAGTGAGTATATGAATTTTTGGCTAGGTAAAAGTGAGCTGAATGCTAGATTGTAATAGATCCAGAGGCCTTTAGAATTATACCAGAACTACTCTGTAAGTTCTAGAAATGACTGAGATACAGCCCTAGTACTGTTTTGAAGTTATAGAGTAGCCTATCAGTTGCACTAACAAAAGTCAGTAGATTTGTAGTCAGTACAAGTGAGTTCAATGCCAAGTTGAAACCTTTCTAATGATATCAAATGATAAAGCAGAAATCTTAACAAAGTTCATAAATTTCATACTCATTTAGCAGTTAGTAGCTGCCATAAGTGGCATGGACAAAAGTCAATAGATTTGACTGTTATAAAGGTGAAGAAGCACCGGAGGCAAGACTCAAGGCATTAGAGGTCTTTCTTGTGTTGCCCTGGCTTTTCCCGGGGTTTTAGCCCAAAAAAAACAGCAGCAATAGACAGGGACCCCAAAACCATGCCTATAGTGCGCCTAGTGCTAACAGGCACTAGGCGCTCTACTGCCTGGGTATTTGCCTCCAGTAAAGCCTTTCTGATTATATAAACATCATTCTTAATAAATCAAAACTCTTTGAGTTAATTACTGTTTTGAAGTTATTTGATTGACTTGTAGTAAAACAGTATAGATTGGTAGTCACCCATGTCAGAGTTGAGTTTTAAGGTCTTGTAAAGATCTTTCTGGTCATACATAACTTGGCACAAACAGACTAGAAAGAAACTTAACTGCCATAGTATTCTGTAGTAAAAGATTTGTAGTGCACTTGCTTCAATGTGAGCTTTTTAATGATATATAAAATTGACTGAGTTATGTTAGTAACAGGGTAAAAGTTCAGATTTGGATGGGCAGTTGCGGGATTGGCCCTGACAGGTAAGACCCAGATAATAGAGAATTTAAATAGCTTTCTAATGGTATATAAATCATCTGAAACGGATAAGAATTGGCTGAGTTATAACCCTAACACTGTTTGAAAGTGGAATTCCGCGGATTTCCACGACATGAGGGGTTGAACCGGCCCTAAAGTCGGATTTCCGCGGACTTCCACTTAAAAGACACTCGTGATTTTTCACTTTTCTGTGTTTTCTGGTCCAACCATTAACAATTGGGCTTAGCTCCAAACTGAACCAAGTCATAAAATTTGAATATCTACAATTTTCATTAATTGAGCCCGACCCTAAAGTGGAAATGCGGATTTCCACCTGGCAGTTAGGTTAGGGATTGAACCAAGCGCTACAGTGGAAATCCGCGGACTTCCACTCTAAAAGACACTCGTGATTTTTTACATTTCTGTGTTTTCTGGCCTAACCATTGACAATCAGGCTTAGGTCCAAACTGAACCTAGTATTCAATTTTGAATATCTACAACTTTCATTAATTGAGCCGGCCCTAAAGTGGACTCCACGGATTTCCACCCTAAAAGACAGTTGTGATTTTTCACTCTTTCTCAATTTGTGAGCCAACCAGTCAGTCAGTCGGTTCATTCATTGAGTCTTTAGGGCTAGTCTTATATAAGTCATTTATAAGGTCAGCCCTAATGGACTGTTACTTTAGGGCCAGTCTTTATATTTTATTTATATATAAGTCATTTATGGGGCCGGCCCTAAAGTGTGGGAAAAAAAAGAAAAAAATACCCATAGTACAGAAAGAGAAGCCAACATGAGTTGTGAATGCAGGAAGAGTACAATCCACCAGATGATCCACTTTGTAAGAAGACTTTTGTTATTCTGACTCTTTTAGCAGTTTTACTGAGTTGCCAATCAGGTGTAGTGGCTGAATGGGAGGTCACTACTCTCCCATCAGCTTAGTGGCAGTCTTTTAGGAAGGAAGACTGCCAGACCAAAAAAAAATGCCACAACCAAAAAAAAAAAAAGACAGTTACTAGCAAACCACTGACGAACACACCATGACCAACAGGTTGAGCTCAGCTCGGAAGGTGTTGAACCAACCTCGCTACCCGCAGGCTTACCATAGCATATCCTATCTCCGCCAATTTAATGAAGCACAGACCAGACTGATCCACTTTCACTGTCTTCCCCCAGAACCCACAACAGGAAGAGCAGGGTCATTGAGCCAAGCTACTCTTCCATATATAAGGCAGGCCCACCCCTCAGCCCACCCCAGGTCCAAATCGCCCAGAGGCGTGAAAAGCGCTGTCCACAATTTCGCACACACGGAGTCCGCAGCAAGTCCGCAGATCGCAACTTGGCGGTCCACTGTGGGTTCAACTCGGGCACAACACAAATATTATTCTTTTTTTTACACAACATGGGTGGAGAAATATGTGGTATAGTCTGCGGTACTGGCTGAGAATGAAGGTATTTAACGCACTGTACCCCGGGAACGGCGCCAGAAGCACGATCGACGCGACGCCGACCCACACGGACCACCCGAGGAGCACATACAGGAAGTATATCCCGATGACCAGCTGCAGCGGGATGTACAGGAACAGATCGATGAAGTCGCGGCTGTCGGCTATACACCAGCTCAACGTGTCGCGCAGGAGGGACAGGAATACGCACTGATGTTGCCGCTGGAGCGCGTGAGTCAGACGCTGTACGAGTGGGGGAATCACGCACAGGTCGGTTGTCACCAGGTTGTTGATTTTCCCCACCATCGACTGGCCCTTCTCCTCCGCCTTCTTGTCGGCTGTCTTTTGATCGCCATCTTTCTGTGCCGCACTGCTGCTGCTCGACGAGCGGACACTCGCCGAACTGGGCTGGATCGTTGTCGATTCCGCATCGCCCTCCGAGCTCGTGCTCCCGGACTCACTCGCCGCCTCGCCCGCAACAGGCTGTTGTTCCGTCGTTGCCGGCTCATCATCTCTGCTGTCCGCTTTGACGCGGATGCGCAGACTGTGGGCGAAGACGAGCTGCGTGACAACCGACTCGGTCCACACCAGCGTGCGCGTGTTGACGAAGATGTACGCCTGGAACGCGAGCGCGCCGATGAGCGGCCCGCCCGCGACGAGCGCGATCCACACCCACGGGCGCACGACGTGGCTCTCGGGCTGGTCGCGCGTCTCGATGTACCTTCGGAAAGGAGTCAGCGCTCTGGCAACCTGCACATGTACAGCTTACAGCAAGAGCCGGTTCATCGCGAACGGCCCCGTGTAGTTGGCGAGGCAGCGGACGACGACGAGCGCAAACAGGGTTGCGAATTCCCTCCAATAGACACGCATGAGGCCAAAGAATGGGTGTCGTTGTTTGGCGCCGGAGAAGACATCGAGGAACTGCAACTTGTGTCAACAAGTATTTGTGATGCAGACTACGCACCTTGAAGCTGCGCTGCTTGAGGTGTTCGGCCCCGTCGGTGTCGCACAGCGCGTAGAGCTGGTCCTCGGGGACCTCCTTCTGGCGATAGGCGGCGAAGATGATGGTGTCGAGAAAGAAGTAGAGCGCAAAGCTGAAGACCGAGGCGGTCTGCTCAGGGTTGAGCTCTTTTTGCGGGTTCTGGGTAGTCATCAGCGGAGGCTGCAGCGGATTCGATGCACGCACAGAGGGATCGACGGGTGTGTAGAGCCGTGGTGTGAATAGCGGCACGACAAGGCCGCTGAAGAACACCAATGCAATTTTGGCCATCATCTTCGCGCCACGGTCGAGCGGCTCCTGCGTGAATGTGGCGAGCGGCATGACGTCGCGGCAGATGTAGAGCGCGGACGCGGCAAAGAGGATGAAGTTGGCGTGGCGCACGAGCCGCTGGCGGTACTTCCGGGGGTCTAGCGTGAAGAACGACAGAAAAGTCGCGTAGAGCTGTAAAGAATCAGAATAGGCAGCAAAGAGATAGAGTGATAGCGCACATATGGCCCCGTTCCAAGCAGCACCTCCTGCCACGTATCTCCCTCGTCAATGCCCACCGCGACTGAGAGCCCTAACGCTGCCGCCGCAGCGACAAACCGCGTGACGCGCCACGCAAGGATAGCACCCCAGCCAATCGCCGGCGTGGCCCCCGTCGACCCTCCCCGATAGCGGAATGCCACCGCGGTCTGCACCAGCAGCACAGACGCAGAGACCGCGGCGGCGTAAACGGGGAGGCGCAGGAGGGCATCATCGTCACCCAGCGCGTGGCGGAAAGCAACGTGGCGCAGGACGGCCTGGGGGATGGCGAACGACAGGTCCATTGGCCGCCTTGTTTCCGAGGAACACCGCTACTTGTACGGGCAGCAAGCGCCCAGGAGTCAGTCTCGTCGGCTGCGGTGGTGGGTGGGAGAAAGACGGCAAATTGGAAAATCAGCGATCTGATGGGGACCGGACACGGAGTATAAATAAGGCCTGGTGTCGCCGCGCCGACAAGGGTTTCATGGTGCGGCCTCTGTCTTGCCACCGTCCTCAGGGCGGCCGGACTGGAGGACGGCGGAGCGGAGGCGCGTGCTTTTCGAGGTCGCTCTTGGGTCGCTCCGAGCCGCGTTGGCGTCTCCCACGCTGATGATTGTCGATGACGTGGCCATAAAGGTGCGAGGGCCAACAGCTTCGGACGTAATTTGGACGGGATGGGACGGAAAAGTATGTGAGCAGCCTAATACAACGCAACTATGTATAGCTCTGATAAGCCCACCCGTAGCCCACCGGACGTGGTAGATCTTCGCAAGCCTTTAGTGCGAAGGCCCGGCCTCCGACCTATTGGCAGGCGTTGGTCTTTGCCTCGAGTCGACTGCCTTCTGCCTCCTCTCCTCGATCTTCCGCTCCGCCCACGCCCAATGCGGGCTCTCCTCCCCCATCCCCATCCCCATCATCATCCAAATCCACATCCCCCGCGCCGAACGCCACGAACCGCGGATCACGCGGACCCGTCTCAGTCCACCCGCCGCGGTGCGGCGGCACCGCAAACACCGCGACGCGCAGCGCCGGCAGTCGCCGAATATCTTCCCACACGCCGGCGATCATCTCGTTGCCGGTCCCGCGCAGCGCGACGTGCGTGACCTGCCGGGGCTGCGCGGGCCGTGCGCGCAGGAGCGCGAAGACGGCGGGGACCGTGTACCATCCCGCCGGGCCGGCGAAGTGCATCAAGAGGACCGACTCGCGCAGCTTGGACGCCCGCGCGGGGTCGGCGAGGAGCGTGAGCCGCGTCGGGCGGACGCGCAGGCCGGGCCGGAGCAGCGCGGCGATCTCCGCGTCGCATACTGTGAGGTGCGCCAACCGCGGGCAGCGCGCCCACCAGGGCCCAGAAGTCGTCGAAGAGCGGTGGCGTTGGGATGCGCAGTGTCAGCCGGCGCAGCGTGCCGGCTTTTGGAGCGGAGGGTGCTGCAGAAGGTCCGGATGGAGGGCAAAGTGACAGAGGCGTACAGCACAGTTTCTGCCGCACGCCTTCGAGGAGACCGCCAGTGTGAGCGCGCTAGTGGTGTCCGTCTGCGCGGAGAGACGCACGATGTCTCTGGAAGCCGTCGTCGACGTTGTCCGCGTTGTGCGCGAGACCCGGGCCGGTGAGCGCCGAGCGCATTTGTTCCCCGTTCTGGCTGAAATCTTCAGCGCAGGTAGCGCCAGTGCGGCGCTCTCGTCTCTGACGTTTTCAAGTGGAACGGGGCAGCGGCTGGGTCTGCACGCAACGGACGTTGTTGCGCGAAACCCGAGGACGGCGGGCCGAGTTCTCGTTCGTTTCGCTTGACACCCACAGGGCGGGGAGCACGAATATGTCCCTCCGATTTCTCAAAAATCCCAGGCGGAACGGCCCCACACTTGGCTCTGCGCGGCCCGGCCGGCGTTTCCCGAAAGCAGCGGCGTCTCGGCCCGCCTCGCGCGCGTCTGACCTGGAAAGGAAGCCGCGGCCAGCGACGCTATATGCGTCCATCTCCAGCGAATCCCGAAAGAAGCGATCCAGTCGTCGTGCTCCATCGCGCCGTCTTGTCTAAGTGAGTAAACTCAGTCTTCTGCTGAATTCAAACAACTATAAGTGACTTTGACTCCAAAGCCATCCTTGGCACGAACTGGGGCCCATCCTGCCCACTCACCTTCCCTTTCGTCTCTCCTGCCCTCATCGCGGCCCCGGACGACCGCGGCCTGCTCAAAACGAGTCCACAATACTCTGGGCGAAACAACTTCAAGTTCTTGGGAGTTCTGGGGTCAAATCTCACGAAGGTCACCATCGGGGCGGTCGACTGGCGCTAAACTCGCTGCGCGCAACGCGCGCCACTGTCTCTTCATTCCGGTGGACTTTCCGGCGATCTGCTTGCTGTATCCAGGCCACGACTTTGGCCCAAGCTTGGTCGCTTCGCCCGGAAGTCGCCTCGGGCCACGTTCTTCAAGTCCGGGGTGTCTCCAGAGACTGATCGCAGCTGTCTCGGCACGTCTCCGCGGTCTGCAACAGTCTACGGATGACATCTTCGCCGCCAGTGTGGCGCGCGTTGTGCGCGAGATCGGTGAGCAGCAACCGCATCTTTTCCTTGTTCTGGTTGGAATTTCCAACGCAAGTAGCGACAGTCTGGCCCCTTTGCTCCTAAGACCTTCAAGGCGAACAGGGAAACGGGTGGGTCTGCGCACACCGGACGCTGTTGCGCGAAACCCGAGGACGGCGGGCCGGGTCCTTGTTCGTTCCGCCTGGGATTCTCAGGGCAGAGAGCACGAATATCTCCCTCCGCCTTCTCAAAATATCAAGCGGAACGGGCCAGCGACTGGCTCTGCGCGGCCCGGCCGGCGTTTTCAGAAGGAAGCCGCGGCCCGGCCAGCCTCGTTTGCAAATGACCGCGGGAAGCAACGCTATGTGCGCACATCTCCAGCGAATCCCAAGCGAAACGGTCCACTGGCAGTCGCCATCTTGCATCGCGCCATCTCGTCTCGGTGAGTAAACTCAGTCTTCTGTTGAATTCAAGGGCTGAATTTCAGACACCTTCTCCCGAATCTCGATCTTGTTCATCCTGGGCGCTCGATCACGCTGGCGCGCGGCTGCGTTATGTGCATGCGGTGCCCGAATCCCGCAGCCGGCTGCCGGCCTTCCGCTGCACTTCGTCGGCCCAAACGGCACGAGGGGCTGGGGGAGACATACTGCTTCCCCCAGCACGCATCTCGCACTGATCCACCGCCGGTATCCCTCGATGCGCTACTGGAGCAGGAGCCAACTTGAAGGCGTCGAGGTATATAATCTTAGAATTTCGTGTAGCTAGAGCGGTTAGCGCGCAGGACATCATTTTGTCTTCATTCAATATTCAATCTTGAGCTGGACTGAAAATTTGCCTTGTCCCCAAGATAGCTACAGCCAAGGATGGGTTTAGGTGTAAGTCCAATAATATGCCTGAATGAAGATACACTGACTTAAAAGCACATATTGACTAAAGATATAGGCAATTAAGATAATTAAAATGAGATAAATAACTCAATTAAGATAATTGAAATCAGATAAATAGCTCATGTGGTAAGGTTAAATGTCAGTGCAATGCATTGCCTGAGTTAATGCAGCTTGGCAGACAACATCAATCGTAACAGTAAAGTTCAGCTGTTATGTTGTATTGGGAAACACACATCAAACCTATTTTGGGTTGAACACCCATTCATAGCCCTTTGAAACCAGATCGAAACAGACTTAAATCTTGACTTCTATGCAGAATTAGTGGTATTGAAATACTTGGAAAGTGAGCAAAGAGACACTAAGAGAAAAAGACAAAACCACACAAACCAACTCTAATACAAACACAACAAACAAACAAACAAATAAACACAAGACAACACAAAACCTAATCTGGACTTAAGACCACCTATGCCAAGCTTCAGATTAATCAGATCACGTCGGAGTTTGATTTGGAGTAGTTTGGTTTTTTACATGCATAAGTTCGGAGGCTCTTACTAAAGTATCTAACAGTTGCAATTCAGACAGCACTCCCAATGGCGCATCTTTGATGTTTCGGCTGAGGCTGACACACTGTCAGTCCAAAATCAGCCTCCGTGATCAGCCTACAGTGCAGCTCCGTCGCTCGGTCATGTGTCTGCCAACCTGCATCCACACACTGCCCACTTTATGACAAACACTTTTGCTGACCTTCACCATCATCACTTCAAGGGTCGAGAAGTCCCGAATGAACCTGCAGTAGAAATTAGTGAACCCAAGGAACTGCTGGATGTCCTTCTTGTTTTCCGGAGTCAGCCAAGCGGAGACGCCTGCGACCTTGACGGGGTCCATTTCGACGTGGTTATGGGAGATGATGACTCCGAGGTACTCAATTGACGATTTTTCAAAGTCGCACTTCTCCGCTCAAAGGTACAACTTGTGCTCCCGGAGTCGCCGTAAGACCTCCTGAATGATTTGCTGGTGTTTCCGGAGGTCGGAATGGGCAATCAGGATGTCATCAAGGTAGATCATGACGTCTCCGGAGAGGATGAGGTCCTGGACAATGTCATTCATCATTGTTTGGAACGTCGCGGGAGAGTTTGTTAGGCCGAAATACATCACCAAGGGCTCAAACAGGCCTCGGTTAGTCCGGAAAGCCGCTTTCCACTCGTCACCTTCCTTGATCCGGACATTGTTGAAGCCCCAACGAACATCGAGTTTGGTGAAGTAACGAGCACCTTTGAGCCGGTTGATGAGGTTGTTGATCAGCGGAAGGGGTACCGGTTTTTGATGGTCATCGCATTGAGAGCACAGTAGTCCTGGACGAAGCGGAGTCTGCCATCCTTCTTCTTGATGAAGAAGACCGGAGACGCCATCGGAGACTTGGAGGGGCAAATCCAACCCGTCGACAGCCCTTCCTCGATGAACACGTCGAGCTCGTGTTGCTCGAGGGGTGAGATGGGGTACACCTTGCAGTTGGTGGGCTTAGCGTCGGGGACAAGTTCAATGGCGTGGTCCCAGGCTCTCCGCTCCGGTAGCATATCGAAGGACTCCTTGTTGAAGACGTCCTGGAAGTCCTTAGCCCAGTCCGGGATCTCGGAGGGCAGAGGGGCGGAGTTCCTGGCAAAGGCTTTGGCCAAGCGCTGCGAGACGGTGCTGCCTGCGCGTATCTCTTCCGAGGGACGGAACGAGGTGTAGAAGATGCGGTCACCATCATCTTCGAGCTGGTCGTCCTCGTCGTCTGAGTCCAAGTCCAGTGTCAGATCAGGCAGGTCGGAATTGAGACCGGAATCGGAATCGTCTCCGTCCTCAGGGCCAGAGAGGTCCATAGTGAAAACCGAGGGGAACGGGCCGGAGCAGAGATGTTTC